CTTCCCAACTCATTTTTCTTCTTTTAATGTTGAGGTGCTCGTACTTTTAATAAAGAAAATCATTTTCCCAACTCATTTTTCTTCTTTTAATGTTGAGGCGCTCCTACTTTTAGTAATGAAAATCATCTTCCCAACTCATTTTTCTTCTTTTAATGTTGAGGTGCCCGTACTTTTAGTAAAGAAAATCATCTTCCCAACTCATTTTTCTTCTTTTCATGTTGAGGTGCTCGTACTTTTAGTCAAGAAAATCATCTTCCCAACTCATTTTCTTCTTTTAATGTTGAGGTGCTCGTACTTTTAGTAATGAAAATCATCTTCCCAACTCATTTTTCGTCTTTTAATGTTGAGGCGCTCCTACCCCCCTCTCGCCTTGTCTTGTCTTGTCGCCTTGTCTCGTCTCTTGTCTTCGCTTCTCTTCTCTTTTCGTTCTCGTTCTCCTTCTCTTCTCTTCCCCCTCTTCGTCTTTTTCAAGCAGGCCATGCATTGGCGCACAGTCGCGCGTGTAGAAAAACGTATAAAAACCTTGGCTTTTCCACGCGCTTTGCGGGAACTCGCTGCCAATTGGGTTCTATATCGCTTACACTGTCACGGCGTTATTCTAGGCAATGGCTCTTACACGACTTCGTTCTGACACCGCAACCTGTGCACCTTCCAAGTCATGTCGCGCACAAGCCCCTTGCAACCATTTCCTTGCTACTTTTTTTCGCTTACATGTCGCTTTTGCAGAAGCTCTGTGTTACACACGCGCTCTCTGCAAGTACTGTTCGCTGCCCACTCGCTTTTACACCAGCGCAGCTTTTGTTTTTGGCCAGTTGCTCTCCACTTACATGGCTCTTACACTACTTCGTTTTGACGCCGCACCTCATTGACACAAACATCTCCAGCCAGCGTGCATGTTCCAAGTCATGTCGCGCACAAACCCCTTGTTTTCACGCACTTTGATATCGTACACTCTGTTAGCTAACCTTTGCATAACCTGCACACAAAAAAACACAATAGCTACACACAGCTACACACGCCCGGGCCATGGCGACCAGCCGTGCGGGCTCGAGCTGATGGCCGGCGGCATGCCGAAGGCTGTAAATAAAAGTATATAATAACGATTCTTTCCTGATTCTCTGAAACCGGTCAAACCAGGATTGCGCTCAATCCACCCAAGTCCTCAAGCACTTGGACCATTCGCCCGGCCTCACGTTGGAGGCTTGTCAACGGCCCACAGGCTTGTCGGTAGCTGGTCAAAGTGGGGCCCCCCTCGGGTGAACCTCAAAAAGAGTCCGAAAAAAAGGAGATGGATCAATGTTGCCCCAACACAGTTTGACCGCTCCACAAGTGAGTGCTCAGCTTTCTCCTGACATGGCGACGAGGAAAGCAATACAAACTGGTAATTTCTTGGTGGCTGGAGCAGGAATCAAACCTTCTTCTCAGACAGAGAAGCTCATCGTGTGTCATTGTTGGAAACTAGTCGCCAATCTCAGTCAGCGTGTCAAGGGACAGATTCTTGGCCCTACTTGTGATCCTTGCATTTGGAATTCCTTCATCCTCCCATTCATTCTGCAAAAATCCAAGTATATCTGGTCTTGTGCGTCCCTTCTCAGCACCCTGTACGACGTGCAACAAAATCTCACTCGGGTGCAGCACTCGGTGCCAATCCCAGTCGTTTTCAGACTCATCATAGCTCTCACCTCTGCCTCCCCCACTGGCCTTCTTGCTGTCAGGGGCCACACTCAAGGCTGTGACAATCTTGGGGCTCGCAGCAGCCTCAGCCTGGTGACTCTGCAAGCACAGCGTCATGTGTGTGTGTGTGAGGAATGTGGGGAACATTTTTGGGTGTGTATTGAAATAGAATAGGGAGACCACGCAGGTTCAACCCCCGGGCAGAAGGAAAATAGACAAACCTGTTTGCCCGTTCTGGAGTCCGGGTGCTTGTCAGAGTGCGCTGTTTTATGATTTTTAGTAGTGTTATAACATAATAGTTCTTTAAATAGATTTCCTTTAAAATGTATGTTTGTTAAATAGACTATAATTTTAACAATTTGTGCCTTAATAATGGACGATTAAATCATTCTAATGTTTGATACTGGTTTCCTAATTTTGTTGCAATGTTTTCTACTGTATATTCACTTAAAAATGACTTGTTCTGTTTTTCTCTGTAATTGCTTTCTTCCTCATTATTTTTACCCTGTCTCCCACCTCTAGTGTTGGATACATATTTTCTTTACTTGCTTTCACTGATACATTCAATTTTGCTTTAAACTCATTCTTCTCTTTCCTTGCTTCATTTGGTGTTAGTCCTGTTGCACTATGCACATCTTTATTATAAGTCAGCATTATGTCTAATATGTAGTCAGTCCATTGTATATTCTGCTTTCCCTTCTTCTCATCATTTTCAACTCTTTTGAATGGTTTATCCTTAAATATCCTAAAAATCTTTCAGCGAAGACAGGATGTCCTCTTGCCCTCAATGCCTTCACCATCAGCACTTGCTATACCTCTTTCATCATCAGTATACAAAAGTTTGCACTTCTTTCCCATTTTGTGTAAGCCTTCCATAGTTCCAGCAATTATGGCAGGTGGGGTTAAGCCTTCCATAGTTCCAGCAATTATGTCAGGTGGGGTTTTACTCTTTATTGGCACTACCACAGCATGTTTACTCAGAACATCTATCATTACTAAACCCGCTCTAAATTGTTGTGTTGCTTCAATGTCATCAGGTCTTAAAAAAAAAAAAAAAAAAAAAAAAAAAACAATATGTCAAGTTGGTAGGTATGATTATTATGAGGTGCTACAAAACTGTTCTGACCTCTGTGTTTTTTCTTTATCTCAACATTTTTTCAAAAAAAAAAATCAACATCAAACAGTTTTATTTCAGAATCTTTTGTTGCATCTCTTAAAGTTGTTGCTTTACTTCCATATTTTCAAAAATAATCAGTGAGCACTACAATTACAATACTTACAACTACAATTACAATACTTACAGTATGGAGTGCAATTATCCACAGAATGGCACAGTGTATTGTCTAGTCTTTGTGCTGTGAAGTTTTTTGATAATTTGCCTTGCTTCATTTCAATATAAGATTTTATTCCGCAGTGGGCACAACAGCCATGGAAATGGTTCAAACATCAATGTTCATTGATATAGTTGTCTTCATATATTTCTCTATCAGCCACTTTATCCTGTTTTTTGTGTCCTTCAATCGTGTTTTTAAAATATCCTATTACTAAATTATTTTGCATCTCTTCATCTGCGTGTTCATTCTTGAAAAATATACAAATATACATTGTTAAAATCCCTTGCTCTTGTGATACTGCACCACAACCATTCTCTGCTTACTAGATATGACTTTTTGCCATTCATGTATTGTAATGTTTCCTCCTATTGATGTCCCCTGTCTGCTTGGGCCGCCAGATAGAGGAACCAAAAAAAATGAAAAACAAAAAAAATATGTCAGAACTCTTTCTGCAGAAGCCCCAAGTTCAAAGACCTCTGGATGTTTTTTGTTCTTTTGTTTTTTTGGAGACCCAAGATTCCCAAACCTCTGGAAATTTGTAGTCTTTTGTATTTATGAATACTCAAAGCATCTTGTCATATCTGAAATGTCTCTATCTGGTGCAAAATTTCCAGAGGTTTGGGAATTTGGTGGTTCCAAAAAACCTGTGGTTTCCACAAAAAACAAAAAAAAACAAAAAAAAAAACACAATTGTCCAGAGGTCTTTGCACTTGGGGCTTCTGCAGAAAGAGTTTTGAAATATTGTTTTTTTTGGTTGTTTGTTGTTTTTATTTTTTTGTTTTTTTTGGTTTTTTGGAAACCCCAGGTTTTTTGGAACCACCAAATTCCCAAACCTCTGGAAAATTGCATTTTTTGGTATTTCTGAATACTCAAAACATCTGGTCCTATCTGAAATGTCTCTATCTGTTGCAAAAGTTACAGAAAAACATCTGCAAATCATTGTCTCTATCTGGTGCAAAATTTCCAGAAAAAAACATCTGCAAAGCAATGGAAAACCGCACTCTCAGGGACACCCGTTCTGTTTTTTAATACATGGACTGTTCCACTGGAGGCAAGTCACATTGTAAATCTTTGGGAAGGGTAGCAGCGCTCTTGTCTTGTTTGTTAATTTCGGCCCCAGATGAACAGGATACCTCATCTGCACAGCTGTACAAGCTTGAGTCCAAAGAGGGCAAGAATATGTACCCCTGCCTTCGATGAAACAAGCGACAGAATCCTGAATAGCAAAATCTGTACAAACATGAAACAAGGTTTCTGGTTAACGGTTGGACCATTTGATTCGAGCGCCTCACGTGCCTTCGAGCTCCCACTTGCCATCTCGGACAACATACCAAGTTCGCTCGCTGCCCTGATGGGCGGACTTCGTTGGCAAAGTGACTGGAGGTGGTGATCGAAGTACACTGGTTGGAGGCGGAACCGTCCGGTATCTGATGAGCCATTGTGGAATGGCGCAGTTTTGGCCCACCACTCGCATCTGCATCTGGTCCATCACAGTGTGGTAGTATGACACAACGCATACAAAGAGATGCTTCCAGCCCTGTGGATCCTGGAAAGCATAGCCAATGTTGCTGTAGTCGGCCTTATAGGCAAACCAAGTGCCAAATCGCATGCCACCACTGACGCAAGAGGAGACTCTGAAACCATTTGCCAAAATGCTGGCCTCGTTCTGTGCAGTTCGGCATCCATGAAACATGATAGTGTTGTCTCCATTGGTCAGAAAGCGTTCATGAAACTTCGGTACATTGATCCTGGTCAGGGACTGGATTACAGTCTCGTGCCCCAGGGTCGCTTGAAAGTACCGCGTGACTGCATCATACTCATCGGATTTGGGACTGATCACCTGCTCCCTCACGTCAGGCTTTGGGCCTTTGCCTCGATTGCACTCACGAACTAACCGAGCACGGCCCTTGGCCTCGCCATGCGCTCGGAGCTGCTCGGTGGTCTGAGGCTTGGCAAAGGAGAGGACCCGGTCATGTTCGGGCTCCAGCTCCGGTGGGGGTGCTCCTGCACCCAGGGGCCGACCGTCCAGACGAGGGGCACAAGAGATCACACCGTCTTCCGGCTCCGCGACGGGAGTTGGCTTCACGGGACGATTCACCTCTCTCGCTGGCGGCCTTGGCGGTGGCCGGTACTTCTGGGCCATGCGCTTCGCCACCGCCTGAGCTTCCTCCCAGCGTTCGGCGGTGGGACGGGTCTCGGGTTCACTGGGCAAGGTCTCCAAGGAGGAGACGCTGCCGGTGGTGGACTGCCTCGAAAAATCCCAGGAAGCTTCAGACCAGGTCTCCTCGCATTCCACTTCAGAGTCGAACCAGAAGGGCTCAACATCAACATGTTCCCAGTCCAATGCTCGGCCACTCAGCCAATGATCGGCATTCTTCTGCGACTTCCCAGACTTGCGAGACTCTGCACTTCGCTTCTTGGGCAGCTCCTCTGGTGGGACTTCGCAGTCGTGCTGCCGTCGCAGCCATTTCCTGCCGATGGAGTGCGCAAAGGTCGCGCGACCCTTCTCGCTCTCCAAGAGGTGACGATGACCCTTGCGCATGGACCAGCGACGCTCGAAGTCTTCACACGCCATGTTTTCGGTGGGCCGGAAAACAGGTATGTAGGTGAGGTGGTCTGAAAGACGTCTTCGAGCAGATCCAATGGCTACAGGATTCGTGCGAAGTGTGTTGAAGACAAGTAAGCGCATGGTCTTCTTGTGGTAGTCTTTACATGTTTATATATGTATATAGAGAGAGAGAGAGATAACCTTCTCTCAAGTAAGTAAGCAACTCACCAATTCGTGAAGCACGGCGCCGTGAAGCCGTGATCCCGAGGATTGGAAGCCTAGCCTTTCCGTCATGCATGGGTTTGGTGAAGCCATGCCTGCTGGCATAGCATCCCAGGTTTCAAGGGAAAGCCCCGGAAGCGTACAAGAGTTTCAGTCCTTTCCCATGGCGCTTCTTCTCTACTAGTGTTTGGACCTAATTTTGAAACTAGAGCCATCCTAGTACTGTGCACGTGCAATCTCAAAGAAGTCCGAAAGCCTGCAGGTTAAACTCATCCGCTGTCGCATCTCCCCTTCTTTCAAAATGTGTCAACCTTCTTCCCAAAATCCTTCTGGTCTGCCTGAAGAGCCACAAGATCCTGCTCCACCAGCTGCAAGGCGCTTGAGGTCCGAGCCTCGGCCCGACCCAAGCGCAACGACCATTGTCTTGAGATGAAAGAACCAGGTGTCATCAATCCGGCTGGTCTCTCTGTCTGTCTTAGGTGGCTATAGTAAGCTGTGATGGTAGCCTGAAACCCCCGGATGAAATTCAACAAACATAATACATATTTATTTATATATAAGTTCAAGTCCCTGAACTTGATCGATCATGGCATATGCAAGTTTGGACTGAGGCAGCTTCAAGAGAGCAACTCTACATCTGTGTTGGCTGCAAGCACGGGAACCTGCCTGTTGCTTCTCTTGGCTCAACCCACCAAAAGTTCCAAGTCCAATCAGCGAATAGTTTCACCCTTTGAGCCCTAGAGCCTACCATCCTAATCAAAAAAAAGAAGAAACGACCACCCGTCAGCAACAGCCACCGGATGTTCCTCTCGAACGGACCGAGTTTCCGAGCTCGGTCACGCGTCTTGCGCAGCTGCTCCTCGCGGTTTCGTGCAGAGACGAAATGGCCGGTTGAGAGGTTTTGTGTAAAACCGGAGGCTTTCTTGGTTTAGGGTGAAAAGGATCCTGTAAATCATCAATTGGAATATCATTGCAACCGCTACTGGTATTTTGCAGGGGAGAAGAAACCTGAACATGCTAGTCATGATGAATGATATATATGCCTTAAAGCCTGCTGCCTTTGTTGTTGCACTAGACAGTTGATTAGTGGATCTGAACTTAGCTCGAATAGTTACCCCAATTAGGTCCTACCTCTGCTTTGATCATCATGCGCTTGTCGAAGAAATGAATGCCCAGGTCGTAGTTGGGTCCGACAGCCTTCGAGTCAGCTGCTGTAAAGCTTCTGGGGTCGCGGTGCTTGCGAGCAATAGAGCTGTCTATCAAACACAGGGAGGTCAAAAGGCAAAGCAAAGCGCCTCTCCAATCTCAAGGACATCTAATCGTCTAATCTGTGCCGCACAGAATTCGAGACCAGTTACAAAGTCTTCCGCCTGGACTCGAGCATACTCTAACTGTGCCAAAACAGGGGGGAGCCTCAGGGGAGCGCTGGAGAGCCTCTTCCAGCTTCTTTTGCCTCAAGTCTGCTCCAGCCGCGCTGCTCCTTTCCCCCCCATGCAGTTTGGATGGTCAGCACAAGTCGGTGAAGAACCCAACCGCAAGTCTGCAAGCGAGACGGACGGCGAACTCGGGCGCTCACTCACCTTTGAACTCGGTGAAGACCTGAGGGAAAAGGGGCGGAAACAAATGCTGACCCAACGCTGGACCTTTCGGTCCACGGTGCATCTCGACACGGTGCATTAACCAGTGTTGGCTACACCAGCTGCATCCAGAAACTGTTGGATTCTTGTTTGGCCTTTCTTGTATTCTTTTTTAAGCCGGGAAGTAGACCGGGTAGGCTGCTGGAGGAGGGGTAAGCTAGTTAGTAGCTCCATTAGGTACTGGACGCCCCTAGTTACTGACGCAGGATAGCTCACGCTCGCGCTATTCATTTGATTCCTAGATTGTTTGGAAAAAAACAAACAGACACCTTGATATTCTGCAGGTATGAAAGTATACATTGTTACCGTACATGGATGTGCTGACAATGTCGCACCTGCATCATCAACAAGAGGTTGTGTTCAGCACAACCTCTTGGCAATCCATGTTTGGCAAGTTCCTCCGGCTGGCAAGGTGAGACAAAACAATGGAACAATCAGGCCAATAGTGACAAGGATAAGAATACAGACGCAACTGCGGCCGTCTTTGAAGGTACCAAACGGCAATATAGAAAGGAAAGTGTCAATACCTCTTGTGCCAGGGCCAGCACTTTAAACCATCCTAAGAGAGTGAGCGCTGACCCCTTCTCCCAAACCTTCAGTAGGTAAGGTCAAGCAAAGCATCTTCATCAGACAGTAAAGGCTACAGTGCCATCACTCACATCTTTCAATAACATCCCTTCCAACCCTTGACATGCCATGCCTTGCATGACTCCCTGGCTTCATTAATCGCTTGCCGAGCCTGGCATCTGAGACGTCCCACGAAGTCATTGTCAGCGTGACGACTCAGGCTGGAGCACACAGGGGAAGCCGTATCTTGATTCTGGGTATTATGGGGTTGCAAACAGAAGAAATGCCAAAAAAGGACCAACTACTCAACTAGAAGGACATGTGATCGTCCTACCTGGTGCGTGATGGACCCTGGGTCCGGTACTGCATTGGGGTCATCATGCTCCGGCCTCTCCCAGGTCCCAGTATCTGATGCTCAGGTTGTAGTGCGCCAAGAACCTGGCCAACTCTCAGGATGTCCATATTTAGCTGGATTGGTTACGATGTCCGCCCCTCAAAGCCCTTCCACTTGGTGGGGTGCTAGAGGGCTCAACTTTTTCGCAACAAGAAGTGAAATAAAACGTGCACACCACTGCTCAAGGAACCGGAATAAGACACGGTACACCAGAGAAACGTGAATTGACGGTCGCTAAACATCCGGCTGGATTCCCCCAAACGATGCAACGAAAGGTCAGTCCGGTCCGCCAACTCCACCAAGGGGCCTTCGCATTGGAATCTGTTTTGGACCATCAACCAAGGCCTGCGAGACGCTGCATGGCGTCTTCTAGCGATGGCCTCCAGCCTAGAAGCGATGGCCTCCAACCTAATAGAAATCATTGACCACTAAGCTGTCATACCTTCACTAAGGAAACGGTTGAAGAAATTTCTGAATTGCACGTCTCCGGCCTAAGACCACGCTTTTCGAGAATCTCAGGCCTGGTCTGGTCTACCTACTGCACAACTGCAGGTGGGGCCTCACAGCTCGTTCTCTGGCTTTTTAAGTGCCTGGAGTCTCCGGAGGACCAGGCATGCCGACCGCAACTGATCCTGGGCACCCATGCGCCCACAGCCATACCATCGCGATGTTTGGGGATGATCGGAGCAATGCTGACCAGAAAATCCGTAGTAGTACACATCAGTGAAAATGGTCCCTGAGATTAATCCATCTTGACAAGACCAGCCAAACACCTGGAAACCTGCTGAAACACGTTGTGAACCAGTACTATTGTTGACTGGCCTTCACAATCTTGAAACAAAATCATCATCCATCCCTTCTGACCAACTAAGCCCAAGCAAACTCAGCCCACCTTCGTGTCTTGGTCTCTGGGACGTAGCCTTGCGGCCTGGGCGCTCACACAGGACATCAGCGGATTGGTCACAACTGCACTCAGGGATCATATGTGTCAGTGCCCAAACACTTACTGTATGCCTTTCATCTAGTCTGTCAATATGTAGAATGTATAAAAAGGCAACCGTCCTCTAATGAAGCTTGTAGCCGTTTCTGAGTTCAACACTTCCACAATCTATCAGATATCAAGAAAAATCTGTGCACAATCCCAGCACAAATGAAAGTTGTAGGTCCCTCAACAATCATGCACAAACTGCTCAGATTCATCTGGTGTTCCAGCCCCTTTCCCAATGCCCGCATTACAACCTAATCTACTAAACTGTCTTTAACAACCCCACAACGACGGTGGCCAAGGCCTCCCATACAAGGAAACCACTTGGTGCCTCCTTGTACTCTCGCACCGCGAGGCGTTGCTGTGCAGCAGCCGTGCGGATCTGAGTACAGCAGTGCACAGCCGGACCACCAATGACTGCGGCATTGCGACCAACTTGAAGAAATTGCATTCGCCCATTTTTTCAGAAAATTTGAACATCCTCTGGCAAATCCTCAGCTCAGGATGGGTTTGAATCTGATCCAGTTCCAAAACAAATACAGTAGAAACACTGTTTGGAATGGACAATCACAGCACATCCTAACTAGTAAAGCTGTCCGTGGAACCTCCCACCTTACTCGCAGGGGCCTTGCGAAGCAGGTCATCTCCTGGGTGGCTGGTACCCAAATGCACCCAGCCAGGTGCTTGCCAGTGACTGCTAAAATCCAGCATATTCATCTAAAAGCAATCAGCCACCTGGCCAAGGTATTTTTTCCATCAATCACCCTTTTCTAAAGTATGTGCATTCGCAATCGAGAGTTTTGGGATCTATCGCTTATACTCGTCTAATGACAAGTGGAATACAATCCCAAGAGTTTGTCCATCTCAAAAAACTGGCAAGTTGGACACTCCTGGCAGACTTCGAGCACCATCTCCTTCCTCGGGATGCTGCGCTGATTGGCCGTGTCTTTGACAGGCGATGTAAGAACATGGCATCGTTCAATTAAGAACCCAGCGCATGTTGAACTGGAAAGAATCCCTCAACGACTATAGAACTCGTCATGTCCTTCAAAAACAAAACGTTGGAACTTACTTAGGCTATTTCACTCCTCTTTTGAATGGTACTGGAGGTAGGTTGACATGATTTGTCCCACCATGATTGCTGGTGGTCTGGAGAGCTCTGGGTCTGTTCTCCTCGGTTGACTGCTCAGATTTGATGTCTTAACTTGCAGCAAAGAATCTTTGTTTAGGAGGACAAACACTTTGCCCTCATGCGTCGCGGCTTCCTTCTTATGCCTGCCACATGTTGATCAACAAAACCTTGTGTCCAAGAGCACATGGTAAACACACCTTGTCAACTTGAGAATGCGTATCGCAAGAACGTTCATGAAGTATGTTATAGAGACTCGCTATCGGACCTTTCAAAGCTTGCATGGGTTGCCATGGCTGAAGTTGCCAATATGCGTGAATTGTCTGCCAGTCATGCATGGACGTTCATGGATCTCCATGTTTGGGGGGGGCACCTTGAAAAATGTTTGTACGATCATTGTCTTCAAAATTACTTGAAAGGCTCCACTATGTGTGCATTTGATGCAAAGTGGCACTTTCCGTGTGGGATCGTTTGTGGATCAAAGCCAAGGTTGTTCAAAATGGAATCACTCTTTCCAAGACTATCTGAGCCTGTCGTGGCTGCGAGCAATGTTGGCAATCGTGATTCTTGATTCCATCAGAAAAGGCCTCCGAAGACGACGTTAAGTACCACCATTGCACATGAAGCGATCGACGCTGGCACAACAACTTCAACCACAACGAGGGGCAGCTCAGGGCAATCATCAGGAATACAATACAGTTGATCCACCAGTTTTGAGCCAAAAGTGTGCGCGGATAGATGAAAAACATGGAGCCCACGAACCCGAATGCAAACACGTTCGAAATGCTACATTGTCTGCTACATATGTCCAAATGACACTCTTGTAGGACACTCTTGTAGGACACCCTTGTGGGACACTCTTCTGGGACACTCTTGTGGGACACTCTTGTGGGACACTCTTGTAGGACACTCTTGTGGGACACTCTTGTGGGACACTCTTGTGGGACACTCTTGTGGGACACTCTTGTGGGACACTCTTGTGGGACACTCTTGTAGGACACTCTTCTGGGACACTCTTGTAGGACACTCTTGTGGGACACTCTTGTAGGACACTCTTGTGGGACGCTCTTGTAGGACACTCTTGTGGGACACTC